GTTGGCTTGTAGCACTCCCATATGTGCTCAGTATCCTATACAAACACCCCATTGCATTCTCCTCATCAACACTTTCTGGTGATATATAATAGTGGTATGTTACACCATACACTTGTCTATTAATGAGCACATTATGTTGAGCTGTGGCTGAAAACAAACAAAGCCAAAGCTAGTGGCACGACAACGCGGAATCGCGTCGGCGTGCCATTGGCTTTGGTCTTGTTTGGCTCCAAACAGAGAAGGGTCAATATCTTGGCTTCTGCTTGTCCAAATGGGACATATAACATATTGCCAGGAAGCTGTTGACAAGGAGAATCCATCTGTGCAAACAAATCAAGGATGTGGTGACAGTGGAATAAGATATGGACTAGATATATTTCCATTAGTGCCACAATTGGCAATAAGCGCTAGTGGCCTGGCATATTCATCAAATGGTCAAGTATTATATACTATTGGGCTCAGAATATTTATCTCTATTCAATGGTGATGCTATGATACTAGTGTACCCAGAAAATTCCGCTATACAAGCAATGTAATACCTCAATACAACACTAGAAAGAGGTAAGTGGGCATGATTAAACCCATATCTCTGTCCGTTTTTGGTATATATACATTATTGTTTCTGCAGTCGTCCTAGTACCAAGACAGCAATGTCATGTAGACACATCATAAATTCCTGGGCACACTGTGGGCTCTATAAACAACACAGGAGCAGTATTGGCCTACAAAGTGGTATAAAATGTGCGAAATTGGATTTATTGCAGTGATCTGCTTATCAATAAATGTTGATATATATATCATTAGAACCTGCTCGCCAATATCTATACAATGGAGGTGTTTTCCGGGTCATATATACCCTACATAATGTATAAATGGCCAATGAATGCATTTTAAAGAAGGGTCGATAGGGCATGATCCTGTCGGCCAAATAAGCGCCCAAAGCGTGATTTGGTGAAGTCCGATGGGCGCTAGTAGATTGCGCTGGGCCAGTGCAATCTACTAGCACTCGTGGTCCTGAGAACGATTTTATGAAAAGCAGCTGCTTCTTAGCAGTATTTCCCTTGCACTTTCACCAGTTCTCATCCATAAAGCACATATTATATATCATTAGAAATCCCTTTACAAGCTCTACAACATGGTATTGTTATGGTCCTGATTGACGCAAATTTCTAGAATAGAAAAAGGAAATACCTCAATTTCAACCTGACAATGACAATATTTCCTTTGCTATTTCAACATTTCTCATCCATATAGCATATATTATACCTCATCTAGAAGCTCTTTACAAGCACTGCATCATGGTGCCATTATAGCTTCCATTTGTTTCAAATTGGACTCTAAATTCAAGACATACCTCATCTTTACCGTTTTATGTATTCTAGGCCAGGATGCATGCATGAGTTCATTTCCTCAATTGCCTCAGTTCAGTGACTGGTAATAATGGATGGAATGCAAAAACAGATTTCACCCTATATGTTAGTACATAACACCTCAACTGATAGCTGACTAGCCTCTTGTAGTGGCATATGGCATATAACTACTACTGCCAGACTATAGCTCTGAAAGGAAACTAAGGGTGTGGTGCTTGAGCTACACTATATCATGTGTTAAAGTCATGTTTTGATACAGTGCATAGCCTATAGGCATATACAGTAGTGGGCAGTGAGGGGCACATGTGCTGTGCAAGGTAGGGTTACACAAGCGCCCAGGGAGAGGCTTTACATGTGGTAAGAGTTGTGATTAGAACTGATCTAAGGCTAACCCTAAGCTGTGCTATTGGAATCCAACCCTAACCCTGTGAACATTACAAGATTTTGTATGTGGCGCCTATTTCAAAACTAACCTCTGATCAGCTGGGTTCCAAATTTTTTTCCCACGTACACGACTTGAGTTGGCAGGAAGCTCACCCCATAAGAAACGATTTCTTCGTTCCTCATCAATCGTAATCCAGTTTGGCAATGTACTCTCACAGAGGAAGCTGATGGTCATGAGCACAAATGTGCACGGGCAATGTGCACATCACAGTGGTGCAGTAAGTTGGTGCGGCCTTGGAAGGAGGTGTTCCTGTGACAGTGGAGTATACCAGGCCTTGTAGCAAATGGATGGTGGTCTGGTCATGCATGGTATAGGTGTATGTAAAGACACACAGAAGGGACACTTGTTAGCCAAGTGATGCTTGGATTGCTGTGTTTATGTTCTCATGGTAGCATGAAAGGGGTGGTGGGGGTGGTGATGCCTGGCACTCATCAAAGAACTGTCATATGTCGTGGACAGCGTGTCGGGATTGCGCCTGTGACGCGTAGCTGGGCATGGTGATGCCCAGTAGACATGCTGTATGTAGGTTTGGCAGGAGCGGAGAGAGCGCTGTGCGTAGCTTGTCCTGCACGGATGAACATAGATATCTGTGTGGTTGACTTGCAGTGTCCTGTAGCTCTTTCTTGCACCCCACCGGGTTCTCAATCATCTCTTTTGTCTGTCATTACTGGTCAGCTCCGTGCATCAATAGCATTGCCTTTACAAAGTACCAATTCAGGCCGTCCATTCTTCTGTGTCACTCTGGCTTACCCAAATATCAGGAAAGAAAGGGGCCTGTGAGCATTGTTCCCTAACATCCTAACTTGATGCAATGCACATTAGAGAAATATCTGGGTTTGATGCATCAGAGTTACAGCAGCAGCTGGAACATGATTCATTGCAAAGAACAAGGGTCACCCACCCATAGGAGCCTGTGGGTGGGCAACATCTGCTACAGGTTGATAAGATCAATCAATGTTGTGTCTGGCAGATATGGCATATTTGTACACACTGCAGTGTACTCATTACATCAAGGGGATGCTGCAAAATCTGGACCTTGCAGCATCAACCAGTGGATACTAGAGATCCTGATGTTCCATTTCAACCTTGTACACATCCCTGGAACCTCCCATGGGCTTATGCTGGTGACGAGCCAGCCAAGGACAGCGACAAATTTAAGGACTGGATTGACTGTATGGGTTCATTCACCACATGGTACCAATTCCATGCTCAGTCTCTCTTTCAGAGGTGCTGCACTATGATAACATAGTATTGTCAATGCAGATGTCACAGACCTGATAGGACTATGCAGCCAATGGAGAGGCAGATGTGTGCATCAATCTTGACAGACACAGCCTGTTGGACCACACACTTATATACTTTATTTGTTTTACACCCTACTTATATGTACATTGCATACTCACTCACCGCAGTCAGCAGGTTATGCGGGAGGCAAGATGTATTCATTGGCTCTTCATCCCATCATAGAACCACACATCACCATGCCTGTCCACAACACAGCATGTGAAGTGGAATTTTCCAAAGTAGATCAGACCACACAGCCTATACCGGTCAGGATAATCAGGCAATGTGACTTCAGTGCAAATGTCTGCCTTGATGTTGTGAATATTCAGTGCTATGAATGCTGGAGGCTCATCATATCTGATGCATTGATGGAGTGCGCGCTCACACTGGGGACACATCTGAGAAGTCTTCTGATTGAATATGGCACCCATCCAGGCAGTCGCACTCTGACCCTTGTATGACCCTCCCTTGTACAGGCTGTTCTTCCAGATCTGCTTGGATGTGTCCCACAGAATATTGCATGCACCCTCAGACTCACTGGAATAATGGCAGGACTGACAGGAATAATACTGGGACTGAGTGTCTTCAGAAGCCTTCAGCAGTTCACGCACAAGAGCATAGATATCAGTACCCACTGGGCCATTGGGATATGTGACTGGATCCTGAGCATGGAGAATATCCCTGACTGACTGCCTGATAGTGGCTGTGTAGCTGATTATGTCATCAGAATTGCCGCTGAAGTGACCAGTAAGCTTTGACAATAATGCATTCTGCTCAGGTACCATTGTGTCTGCCACTGTTGCTTACACTCTGTGTAGACTGACAGCAAAATAGTTAGAAGACTGTCATAAGCACAGCTGTAGTTGGCATTGTCCCACTTGAACCCAATGAAATCCTCAGCATGCACCTGTTCACCACGAGGCTTCTTGGCACCCACTTCATCACAGTCATCCTCTCGCTTACGTTTCACTGACTTCTTGTCCACTGTATTGCTCACAACTGTCAAAGCTTGTGTACCTCCTTAATCTTGCTGATGTTGAGTTCCCCAGCATCATTATAATACTGGGTGTCCAGGTTATCTAGTGTGGCATTATCCATGTTGAATGAAGGTCCTGTCTTTGTCAGCAAGAGTTCATCCTCGGATTCTTCTTCTTCTTCTTCTTCTTGGGCTCCAGCACCCTTCAATTCTGCATCACTGATATCATGGTTATCCTCAAACTCTGAGTCCTCATCTGCTTGCTGATCAATATGTTCTTCAGATTTCTTGGGATCCTTTTTACGGTGCTTGATTTTCTGCTTATCTGCCAGTGTGACCCACACTGGGCGTCAAGCCACATATTCCCGCCGAAAATTGGGAGACAATTCGAGATGGGGACCAAATGTTCTCCAGATCGTCCCATGAAAAATGATGTAAATATTTGGGGCTTTGTCCAATTAATTGCCTCATATGTATCACATATTCACCCATTGACGGGGCAACCATGCCCCCGCTGCGCCCTCCTAGTCCCCCCCCCCTGTGCGCACTGCACGCGCACTGCCATCAGGAGCTGCTACCCCCGGAGGGTTTGGGGGTAGGCCCCAAGGGAGCGCTGGTAATGAGTACAGGCCTCTCAGTGTCATGCACATGGCTGACCCACTTGTGTTTAGAGGGGTCTGCTAAGGGCGTTGGCAACCAGCTGATGTCGCTTTGTACTCGTATGGATGCCCTAAAGATCCAGGTACAAGATATCTCAGCAGCACATGAGATTGACAATGAACAGTGCACTGAGGAACACGAAATGACCATACAGAACATCAATGAAGTGGCGATAGCCGTCGAGGAGCACAATGAGTGGTTCGACATTGTCAAGGGTGCCTTGCAGATCGCCCTGGAGCGGCTTGCATTGGCAGAGCAGCGCCTCAAGCAGCTCGGTGCAGGTGTTGCCATTGGGGGTGACAATGAGGGCCTCGTGGTCGCTGCTCCGCCACCGAAGCAGACTGTCACACAGAAGAATGCCCTGCAGGTCAGTACTACATTCATTTGCATGCTGTCTGATCGCTCATCCCTTTACCAGGGCGCCGTGCGGCTGTGTCTCAAGGTCTTCATGGAGATCATGGACTCCGAGGCATTGCCACAGCCACTGGAAAACGGCCATTACTGGGAGGCGATGACTATGGTAGACCCAAGGTCAGGTGATGAGATACCTTCACGTCGCCTTTGACCGAAATGGGACAAGTCTTGGGGCAAGAACAAGACGGCCTGGCTCCTGGATGACATCCACCGGATCAAGCGAAGTGGCTATGAGTACAGTAACCACGACTTTGGGATCACAACTCACGATCAAATGAAGAAGGCCATGGAGAGCGTGTGGAAGACACTTATCAAGAAGTGGACTGCGCAGAATCCAACACTGAAGAAGCAGGCAGAGAGGGTTGAGTTGAACCAGAAGAATCAACACAAGGTTATGGTCAGTGACACAATGCGCTGTATGAGAATTAGGCTTACCTGTGACCTGCCTCGACAACAGAAGGCCAAGATCCGCCATAAAATCGCGAAAACTGGGGTTGTTCTGGCGTTCCAGCGACACCGCCACAGGTATCAGCTGCAATGGCAGTTACGATTGATGAGGAACAAAGAAATCGTTTCTTATGGGGTGAGCTTCCTGCCAACTCAAGTCGTGTACGTGGGAAAAAAATTTGGAACCCAGCTGATCAGAGGTTAGTTTTGAAATAGGCGCCACATACAAAATCTTGTAATGTTCACAGGGTTAGGGTTGGATTCCAATAGCACAGCTTAGGGTTAGCCTTAGATCAGTTCTAATCACAACTCTTACCACATGTAAAGCCTCTCCCTGGGCGCTTGTGTAACCCTACCTTGCACAGCACATGTGCCCCTCACTGCCCCACTACTGTATATGCCTATAGGCTATGCACTGTATCAAAACATGACTTTAACACATGATATAGTGTAGCTCAAG